AAACAACAACATGAACATTGTACAGACAGAATGACCAAGCATCTCTCACCCTGACCTTAACCATGAAGAAGCTAAACGAAGGCTGCTGTTTTCCTAATGGAGCTCCAGACATGCTTCATCTTTTCTAGCCTGTACTGTGGATGTATTCTGATATACAATCATGTAATTGCTTCCAATTCCTCATAGTATCCAGTTTAGAATATTTCAAGTGAGTAGGCACATAAATGGGATTTTATAGCTCTTCTTCCTGCACACAAATCAGCCTGTTTTAAGTGCTTATGGTGCGTTTCCTCATGTGAGTTCAGAGTCACTCATCCTCCTTCTGTACAAGGTGGCACTTGGTCATGTATGTTATTCTGTAGAAATAGATTTCCAACATTTTGCTATTATAGTGCATACCTGTTTATTTTATCACAAATGAAGTGCTTATTGCTTAATTGAAAAGACTAACATTCCTGCAAACAGTAACTTGGATATATTGATTTTGCTATGCTGACTGTGGCAGGATCCAAAGGGATATATGTCTGCTCCCTTGGGATTGCCATGCTGGCCCTGTGGTCACAGTACAGGCCTGAAGCCATTCTTTACTCATGCACATACTCAAGCAAACCTGCAAATGCTGTTGTCCCCTGTTTGGGTGTCAAGCTTTTCCTATCATTTGAAATGCCTTCAAGAGCTGCAAGCTGATCAGAGAATAACCTATGTTCTTGTGAGCTCAATTGGGCCAATGTGTGTGAAAAGCAGGGGTAAGGTGGATAGGGGAGCCACGGCACCATGAGCTAGCTAGGAGACTGGTGCTCACTGGGACATTATGTCCTTATTTCTCTTCACATAATGAGCACAGATGGACTTGGTAAGGCTCCCTGTACCATGTTCACTCGAAGATTCCCTTCTGAGCCTGCTGGAAGGCCAGGCTAGGGAGGGAGGTGGGGACAGAAGCTGCCCAGCTGCCTTTCATGATTGACCAAGGGTCTGAATGGGAGAAGCACCAAAAATGACTACAGTCAGACTGTCAGCAGCCAGAGGGCCAGTGGCCTCCTGGGTAGGAGTCAGAATTTCCTTCAAAGTGTCACTATGTTCTCTATAGAGAATGCCTCTGTTCTTTCCTTTCAAAAAGAGACCCACATCACTTACAGGGGACAATATTTCTGCAAGAGTAAATCTCTTCCTCCATATTTTATACACAAAAAGAGTGACTTGTGGAAAAGATAAATGACATGGAGAAAGTTATACAGTAACAGGATCGTCATGATTTGATAACAAGTCAGTCTATTTCCAGAGATCTGGACTTTCCCCCAAAGACCTCAGTTTCAACAAAGTATTTCTGTTAACACCAGAGAAAGTGTTCAGACTTAGGGAATCACTTATAGGCAGAAGTCAGACGATGCAAGACCACAGGCAGGAAACGTAAAAACAATCACACTTAACAAAACACTGAAGCCAGCATTCTCCTGTGCTAAGTCAGACTTGTGGGTGAGCTGGCATTATACCTTCCTGATAACTGCAGTTGGTGGAGTCTGATCTCATAAGCCTTCGGCATATATCACATTTCATCCCTGTCCTAAACTTGCTCCCTTTGGTGTGAAGGTTAAATGAGTCCTCAGCCAATGCCAGTAAGACTCATTGTTAAGTGTAAGGGGAATCCGTATCTGCAGTCTGTCCCCTGGACCAGCTTGGTGAGCCTGTAAACTATAGAGCAGAGGGCCTCAGCTTAGCTTTGCTGGTTCAGTTTGCAACTACTGGTTGTTTCTGTACAGGTCCATCTCAAATTTTCATTTGTCTTTGGGCCCCACAAGTCACATAGCCAGTCCTAGAGGCTAAAAGGCATAGCTGAAAAAACCGGCAAAATAATGCCTCCACTCAAATCCCAGGGAGTAGAGACAAGCTGGTGGTAATTTTATTCTGATTGAAGGCTCTTGAGTGCTGACTCAACTGTCTCTTGCCTGTTGAGAAGTCTTCCATCTGATGGGTAGCCAGTGTGGTGTATGAACAATGTAGGGAAGGGCTAAAGAAGGCACTCATTGTTCTCAGCCTCTGCTCTGGGTCCAGCCCTCCCTTGTTGAGGGGAACACAAAGTTCTCCACATCACTCCCAGACTCAGGAAGTTCCCAGATGGATGGGGAAGCAGGACACAGGTCTTCCTGAAATCATACTCAGATGAGGCACAAACATGTGGACCAGAATTTCAGGGACAAGGTTCAGAAAGTGTTCTGTAGTGGCTGGCCTATTTTAAAGGCTCTGCATAGATGGAGGACTGAGCAGGCTCTTCAGTGGTGTTTAGAGCTTTGGAGGAAGGAAGCCCTTAGCCTTGCACAGGGCTACAGCTCATGCTTCCCATGCCAAGACATGCTTCTGTTGTACTGGGACCGAAACTAGGGCCGTGAGCATGCTAAGCAAGGGCTCTACCAGTACGCTACATCATCAGCCCAAGGACTACTTTCCATTTGCTCACGGTAGACTGTGGACAAGTATTGCAGTTGGAGCCCTCTGGAAGCTGATATTCAGTAGACTTTGGAGTGTGTATTGGATTCCTGAAGGTATTTAAACAAATCACTATACAGGAGGTGGTGTATACCAATAGATTTATATCCTCTCACAGTTCTTGGGGCTCACTGGGTTAAAGTTAGGGTAGCATTAGAGCCGTATTCCCTCTGGGGGATATGGCAGAAAGTTCATTGCTTGCCTCTTCCAGATTCTGGTGACTGCTGGAGGCTTATAGTTGCCCTCATTCCAGTCTTAGCCTCTGCTTTCACATCACTGGTTCTTCTCTCTTAAAAGTCCCCTGGCCTCCCTCATAATGAAGACACATGGGCTGCCATTTAGGACCCACTTAGATAATCCTGGAAAGTCCCAGCATCCTTAACCATATCCCATATAAGGCAATTGTCACAGTTTTTGAGGATTAAGATGTGAACGTACTTTTCTGGAGCTACCATTTTGGCACAAAATGGGCACAAGCTGTCTAGCCAACACCTGTGAAAAGAATTCAGAGGGAAAGGAAGAGTGGGGGAAGTTGGACTGTGATGAAGGGCCAGTAAAGTCTTGGTCTGATTCATGGAGAGTTTTGGAATAAAAACTACCCATCAGAGTTGTAGCTAAGTGGGCCAAATTGCCTGAGACATCACATCTTGCCAAGCCCAGTGACTAGGTATGGATAAGCCTTAGGATGGGTGTGGCCTGGAATGAAGCCACAGAGTGACCAAGGCAGAGCCCAAAGGGCTGGCAGTCAGTGCTGTCTGCCTACTACACCCCTGCATTGGAGAGAAAGGTGCCCTTTGTAGAAGGAGCGGCAGAGAATAAACAGATGGCAGGTAGTGGGGAGTATATCCCTTGGAGATAACACCTAGGAGGGGGTCTGGATCTTCAATCACGATGAAAAGAGCAAGTCTGCTTTGTTTTCAAAAGGCATGAGAAAGGGGACTTCTCAACCTCCTGATCTTGCAAAAGGTCACTAGCTGAGGAGCTATTTCCAGGCCACTCCAAAGTGTTAGGCCCAGCCTAAGAGTTGTTTGTCCTCCTTTGGCCTGCCCTGCGGATCTGCACACAGCTGCAAAAACATGTAGTTTGCTTTAGCTTGTACTAAAAACAAATATCCCACTATTCTCCAGGGGGTACTCAGATAGTTTTGTTCTTTGCTCTCTCCTGGGATGCGATCAAGGAGGACATAAGATGTCTTTGTCTAGATTCAAGAGGTGTCTAGGGCTATGTTCCCTTCTAAGACTCAGCAGCTCCACTCTTTAGAGTCCCAGGTCACTGGTCCAGAGGAGAGGTCTTCATTTGTCTCCCCTTCTTGCCTTCCCCACAGATATGTGATAGAGGAATAAGAAGAAGGTTACAGTAAGTTCCATTTTTCACCCCCCCTCCCCCTGGGGCATCACTCAAAGTCACTTATAGTCTTTAGTGGAAAAACAATGGTTCTGTTGAGAGAGACCAGGCCTGGCATGTGTACTGGAGAGTCCTGAGGACAGTCTTATGTTCATGTGCACCTTTGGGGAGTCTGAGACTGTAGTCCCTTCCCTGGGTTCTGGTCAGGAGGCTGTCTGGAGGCACATACCCCAAGCAAGTCAGTAAGGAGATGTGGTCGGACCTCATTCTCAACAGTCAACCAGAAGACATCAGCTTTAAAGCTTCTCAGGCATGACAAGCCAGTCCTTGCAGCAGCTTGGCCTGCCATCCTCACTGTTGTGGTTTCCAGGGGACAGAGAGTGTCTGGAGCAGTCAAAAGGCAAAACTGAAAGGTCCACCAGTATACCACAAGATAGGGATTCATGTTTAAATGTGAATGAAATTAGAACTGAATTGTCCAAGATGGGAGTCTGAGACTGATGGGGAAGGCAACAGGTGAATGAACTGGTAGGGAGAGTTTCGGCATTATCCAAGCAAATCACATCCTCCCTGGGCCTCTGTTTCCCCATGGGTGCAGCAAGGCTTGTTGACTGAGTGTTCTGACCTCCAAGGTGCTGATTTAGAGGTAGAAGAAAGGAGGTAGACTGATCAATTCCCAGGAGTAGAAGTCTAGTAGGGAGGCTAGGCAAAGGTCTAAGAGCCCTTTATAATTATTAAGGAGGCATGCACAGAGGTCCATAAGCCATGTAGTTTAAATATTTTAAAGGCACAGCAGAGGAAAATGCATTCCATTGGTTGACCTTTAAAAAAATTTTTTTGTTTTGTTTTTTTGTTTTAAATAATAACTTGTAAGGCCACATTTGGACGAAAATTTTAGGACTCCTTTGAGTCTTGCACTGGAGCACATGGTCCCAGGCTGAAGTTACAATGAACAGTGGAACCTGTCTGCTACCCTCAGGCTGCTGTGCTCTGAAATCTGTCTTTGTAACTAAGCTGTAGTCACACTTGGATAGCCTGTTCTGCATAGCCCTGAATACACAGGGCTAATACAGCAGATCTGTTCGTGGGAGACATGGAGCTCTCTTGGTGTATGGCTCCATATTGGTCTTGTAGATATCCAGACAATCTTTTTTGCATTGACTATTTTTTTTTTTTTTTTTTTTTTTTTTTTTTTGCTGGTGGGTCAGAGTGCAGCACGAGTTTGCCTGTCAGCCTTTGCCTGTTTACCTACCCCATAGCATGTCCTCTCTAAGAAAGCTCATGTTTTGACACTTGTCTTTTAGAGGACTTGAAGGCAAGCACGTTAGACGAGTTTCTTTCACTAGTTTTGAGTGTTTCTTAGGAAAGGAATGTACTTAAATATTTAAACTAAAATTGCTTCTTCTAACTTGGTGTCAACTCATCCATGGGCATGGAAGAGCTTGTGGATTGTCCCTTCAAGCTAGTTAGGCCCCAGTCACTCAGAACTTGTCGTTATACTTGCAGTCTGGGTAGCGGTAGGCAAATCTAGGGTCACAGGTTCTCAGTGGTCTCAAGATGTCCTTCAGTAGGTTGGTGGCCCCTAAAACTTCCGTGTCTGTGCTGGCATTCTTGCTACACAGACTGAGAGCAGAGTCTATTTTCTCTTGCACAGGGGAAGGAAACTTTCCCTGGAGAAGTCGAGGTAGCAATTGCTGACACACCAGCACCAGGTTTTGCTTCTCAGGGACAGTGTCACAGGAGGACAGCTGGACCGTGCAGTCAGACACCAGGCAGCTAAAAATGTCTTCATTCTCTCCAGTCCCGGAAGCTGCTTGGCTGCCTAGAAGAGAAAATATCAGATATTGTAAACCTATTCTTGTGGGGGTGGGGACGGGGTGAAGGGGGACTGCCAATTACAATTGCGGAGTGAAGTGCTTTAGTATCCAAGCATTTCCCTGTCATCAGAAGATGTAGGGTTCAAGAACACAACAGCCCCTTTGGAGAACAGCATTGAGTAATACTGTCCTACAATTAGGCTAAAGCCCAAGCATGGAAAACCCACTTGTCTCTACCGGAAGCTGGGCTATAATTATAAAAATTATAACCACATTGTTACTTTCCTGTTATTACTGAATTAGGGAAGTGAGGATGGTATTAGGATTGGTTTTATTGTACAATTAGGATATAAAGTCAGGGAGGAAAACATGTCATCCAAAGTATGTGTTCAGCAGGTTACAATGGAACTGATGTTTGCATAGCTGGGATCAATCTCTCTTTTAATTTGATTCTTCTTAATAAAGGCAAATCAGGAAGCGAGGAAAGGTTTTTTTCCCTCTATCTTTGCAGAGTTTGTTAAAAAAAAAGTGTCAGAAATGGGAAAAAAATCTATTGTCCTGTTATTGGGCTCAACAAAGTTTGAGAAACTGGCGCTTAATGGTCTCTAGAACACTTGTCTCGGTGAACAACGAGAACTGTGACTTGCACACACACCTCGTTCAGTTGCCTGTTTGTGTAATTTTCAAACCTTACAGGGTCAATATGTCAACACTAACTGCAAAGTGAACTAGGCCAGCAGTTGTATCTTAGATCAAGGCTAAGAGCATCTGAGGAGAAAGGGTCTGAGGGGGAGAGGGACCTGTGACTTGTATGTGAGTGAGATCCAGAACTACCCTGGGAGGGCTCACTGGGGGTCCATACCACCACGGAAATGTCCCTTACAGGCAAGACCAAGTTCATTTTCCCTTTGAAAATAAAGACAAAACCGAAATTCAAATGAGGGTGAGGAGATATTGTGCTATGACCAATAACATTTCCCAACTTGGATTACTCTGTGACATACAGAGAGTACAAAGGCCCAGGTCACCCCTCCTTAGCCTTGGTCACCCTAACATCCCCTTTGACAGCTGCTCAACCAAGCCCATGCTGAGTACCTTCCTGCTTGTCGATGACACCTAGTGCACTGGCATCCCGGATGAACAGATGCCCATTGTCAAAGATGCCAAACATGTTTGCATCAACATGGGTGAAGTAGAAGAAATAGTTCAAATCATTGCTCCTCAGGGACTCCAGGACCCCAAGGAGTTGGTAGGCAAGGTCAGCAGCTTGCTCTGGGGGTGCATCGTAAAATTCTTGCAGTGGTCTGGTGCTGGTACTGATCAGGAATCTACCACAGGAGCCCAGGTACTTGGGCAGTGGCCAGCCCTCTGCCCCCGGGAAGATCTGCCAAGCCAGAAGGAACAGGCATTAGACACAGAGAGATCTCACAGAGCAGTTTGTTTTCTACCTCTCACCCACAGCCCACACAAATAAGTCTTACTGCCACCCTGGATCTCAAAACATGCTGGCAAAACATTTCTCCATCTTTTCATACCTTTTGGAACATAGTAAGGCCCTGCCCTCCCCCTACTTTGGGAGTGTGTTGCTAATGGAAGGAATCAGGAAGGAGGCCGCTCTCATTTATGCAGTGGATCAGATTTTACGAGTTTCTCCAAGTGGAACCTGAGAATGCTAACCAACCTTCAGTGATTTTCAGTGGTATCCAGGATTTAGGGTATTTTTCTTTTAAGTTGTGCCATTTAAAAAATATGACTAGTCTGTACTTTCCAAGATATCATTACTTAGGAAGAGGCCATGGAAAAAAAATAAAAGAGCAACTTCAGGGCAACTGAAAGACAAATAATAAATAAATTAATAAATAAATTAATAAATGAATAAATTACAAATAAGGTATCATGTGAGCTGGTTTCTTCCAGATGCTCAGGAGGATGAGGCAGGAGGGTTGAGGTCAGCTTGGTCAACAGAGCTCATGAATAAATAAATGAATAAATACAACTACCTGGTTCTAAGATGGGACAAGAATAATTCTGGTGGCTGTTCCCGCTGCTAGACTGGACAATCCTGCATGGTTCAGGTAACTACACACTTAAAGATTCTTCTCCACTGGTGGGAAGCTTCCAGATAGACTAACATTGGTCTGGGGAAGCATAGCCCAGCCTCTATCCTTGTAAAAGCTCTCAACTTGTGGATTTGGGTGATATAAAGTTAGGAAGGAATCCTAGCTGGTTTTTTTTTTGGCCATTTTTAAATTTTTTTGTTTTTGTCTGTTTTTTTGTACATCATAAATGAACCCTGTATCTCCATCATTCCCACCCCTCCCTTCCTCCTCTTAACTCCTGTGTCCCCTTTCTTTCTCCAAAATTCATGATCTATGCTTAATTATTGCTACACATAGTTACATATATTTATAGACATATATAATCACACGTATATATACAACCTACTGAGTCCATTTAGTGTCACTCATATGTACATGTGACCAGAGCTGACCATTGGAATTGGAAAATTTATGTGGGAATTTGTCCATGGAGAAAGATGACTGATTCTCTTTCTCTCAGTAGCCATGGGCCACTTGTATTCATCTATTGGTAGGGCCATAAGAAATATTCCCTGTATGTGTTAGAGCCTCAACTGTTGATCATTTTTTCAATGAATCTGTGTCTAGAACTGACAACCAAAACTATAAACACCACTTTCCCCTTTGTTTACCTTAAGAAAACAAAGTAAGTCAGAGTGATGCATCTTCGTAGCAGACCACTTATCTGACATACACAAGGCCCTGGGTCCCATCCCCAGCACTACAGAAAATAAAACAAAAAGTATATTTCAAAGTTCTGTCTGTCTGTCTGTCTGTCTGTCTGTCTGTCTCTCTTTCCTGTATCTTCTACCTCTTTTAAGTCACGTTATAAAGAGTCATGGTCTTTGAGCTTCCCTAACTGGAGTACCTTATACACTATGTGCCTCCAAGGGACAACCTGGACCTACTGATCTTGTTTAAATGTGCAAAACCACTCTTTGGTCCCCTACCACACTCTTTCTTGGTAATGCCCAGGGTTGAGTGGGGTGTCTCAGCCATATGGTTCCAGGTCAGGTCTCTCAGGAACCAGACCTTCGGGTAACCATGATGACAACAAAAGTTAGAGTAAAAGTTGTGAGTAAAAGGCCTCCAAGAAGACCCCTGAGCATGTAGGGCAAAGAGCAGCTCCTTCTCTGCTGCTAGCATGTCAAAGACACTAGGCAGGTTTAATGGGTAGAGTATAGCTTCTATTGTCTCTGATGGCAGACATCTTTGTGTTTAGGTGATAGTGGCTAAGGCACTTCTCCCGTCTTATTCCCAATGGGGATGACAATATCATTCTGGAGGCTTGTAGTGAGAAATAATTGACAATAATAGCCATTATTCAGCACACCTGGCATGCAGCAAGAACCAAATAACCAACAGTCTTCATTGTGTAGTCATCCATTAGTGTTTTTGGCAAATATTTAGGAACTATCTGTGTTGTGGCTCCTTTCTTCCCTACCTGTATTTTTATATTATGGTATTTTAAAAGATGGTCTCATGCCAGGTGGTGGTGTACACCTTTAATCCCAGAACTCAGGAGACAGAGACAGGTAAATCTCTGTGAGTTCAAGGCCAGACTGGTCTACAGAGTGAGTTCTAGGACAGTCAGGGTTACACAGAGAAACCCTGTCTCACCCCCCCCCAAAAAAAAGAAAGAAAAAAAAGAAAAAGAAGATGGTCTTATTTTGCAGCCTGTGTCACCATGCCAAGCTTTCCCTCCTCTTTTCCTTTTCTCCCTCCCCTATTATTCTCTCTCTCCCTCCTCCTCCCATCCCATTCCTTCACCCTTTACTCTTCTTTCACCTCTTCTCTTCCCCTGTGACTTCTGGTATCTTTTCTGTCCATGATGTGACTTATGTGTCCATGTCCTGACCCTTGTTCTGGAGGAATTTAGCTCCATGAGTTCTATGGATAACTGTTAACATGGTGTCTCTAACTTTCTGACTAAGTGTGTCCCAGGCCCAATATGTCCTCATTTATTTGACCACGTTTCAATAATTTCACTTTCAGTTTTTTTTTTCTCCTTTCCAAACACAGCTTCAAGGTATATCTCTGGGTAGTTGTCCCACCAATCCATGAAACTTGCTCAGATCATGTTTCTCTTAGTGGCAGAGATTAAATTCACCTCCCTTCATGAAGGCCTTCCTGTCTGCCTCAACTTGTAAATTTGACTGCTGTTCCCTGTCACCTACGTTCCCAGCCCTGCACTCCCATACCTCTTTCCTCACTAGCTGCCAAGGCTGTCAAACACTTACCTGATGTTGCAAATGTATGAGCCCAGATTTGTGGCCCCAAGACATGAAGCAAGAAGGGGAGAAAAATCAACCCATGGATGGCCTCTGAAATTCCAAGGTGGTAACATAACCTGGAGAGCTTGTGGGGGTCACCAAATACCTGCAGAATGATGGGGTGTGCATTGACAGCCAGTGTGTAGAGGAGACGCAGCTTGTCACGGTCGGTGAAGTGGTCCATGAAGATGCTGCCAGCGTCAACCACTTCAGCATAGCGTCGAACCACACGATCCAAGAGTCTTTGGGAAGGGCAGCGCAGGAAGGGACTGGGCAGGCCCTGGAGACACATGAGAGAGACCCAGGATGAGTTACTGGGCTCTTGTAAGGGACACAGATATCGGACTGGGAGTCTAGATAAATAGTAGAGGAGAGATCCATGGGTGGTTGAGGATGCTGAGCAAGAGGGTAGAGACCCCTGGGAGGAACATAGAGAATGGGAGAGGGCATAGAAGGCTGTCCAGGAATTGGGGCACTGGGGGTATGGAGGCCAGCTCTGCCTCTTTGAAAGTTTGAAGTTTTGCTTTTTTTTTTTTTGCTCCCATACAGAAAAAAAAATCAAAATCAAAAGAGAATTAACAGTACAAGTCGTACTGCTGTCCATGTGCTTCTAGTGGAAGCTCCTTTCCCATGACTGCCTGCTTAGAGAAGTAGGATAAGAATAAGGCTGTCTTGGATGGATCCAGAATTTCCGATGTAAGGACTCTTCCTAATGGGACAGAAGGTAAAGTTAGCTCAATCCCCTTGAGGATTTAGATTTGGAGAGCCATCTGAGACAGAGGGTCTATGAGAGAGCTATGAAGAAAGCAAGAGATACTGTGAACCAAAGTGATTGGAAACTTACCAAAGAAAATTTAGAACAAAAAAATACAACGTTGTTTCATTCTAGAGCACAAGGCCTATAAACTGCTATACTAAAAGCTAAGTCGGAGAAGGTGCTATGTTTTGACTTTGTCTCTCAAATTGGAACTTTAAATCCCAGTCATATGTTAATGGTATTTGGAGGTGGGATCCTTGAGTGGTAATTAGGATTGGATAGTCAAGAGGGTAGTCCCAATAAAAGCATTAGTGGCTTTTTAAGAAAAAGAAGAGAGACCTAAGCTACAATGCTTGCTCTGTATCTCACATAATGCCTCTGCTGGGTCATAATAGAGCCCACACCAGATGCTAGTGTCAAATTCTTGGACTTTTCATCCTCAAAAACCATTAGTGAGACAAACAGCTATTCTTTAAAACTTGGGGATGGTGTTCACACATGCCAATAGGAAACAGGTGAAGGCAGCAGCACCACAAATTCCTTTTCCAGAGAGTGGCTTCACTGAGTCTTTGTTCCTTGTCCCAAGGAAGCCAAGCAGCTTTAGCAATTCAGGGGAATGCAGCTTTACTCAGGCACGGAAGGAAAGGCAGTGGTTAGGATAGGAAGTCCTGTATCTATTGAAACTTAACCTTAGCCTCAGGAAACTTAACCTTAACCCTTTCTCTCACCTCACAGGAATGACCCTTCAAAAAGTTCTTTTTAAACACTCAGCATCCTGGGTTTCAGAAAACCACATTATGGTTAAGCTAAAGTGTATATTAATCACTCAAGGTTGTTCTGACTGACTTGATGTTTTCAAAAGCAAATACTGCTTGAAAGGTGACGATTTACCACTGCTGAACAATCTGAATATCTGTTCTGATGGAAATATAAATGTATGAAGGAAATAAACACCAGTTATTCTGAGAAAGAAAATCTATGACCAGAAATATGGCTTTTCACCCTAAAACTGGAAGTTGGCTCTTCTCAGTAAGGTTGCCTCCAACAACTGACTTTAGAATGCTGAAAGAAATGTCCAGCAAAGGAAGTTTTACTTTGAGGAAATTGGCTGTTCTCAACCTCTTCTAGCCTCTAGGAGAAAACGTGAATTTGAATAAACTTACTTCCAGTTATACACCTGAACACCTTTTACATGACTGTGCATTTAAGTATGCTTGTAAAACAGAGCTAAGGTTAACCATGCATCACAGTTAATCAACAGGCTACTATTAAGACAATGAAATTTAATAATTGTCTCAATTGTTATGGATAGTTAAGCTCACTGTTACTAGAGGGAGGGGAAGATTTAAGTAGATGGTCCCTAAATAATTTCAATTTGTCTTTGAAATCCGTAAGTTAGGGCAGGCTTATGATAGGTCTCTTTCCCCTTAGGAAGTTGCTCTCTGCTACCTAGGCTAATCAACCCAGAGTCCCTGATATTAAGGCATTGGTACAAAGTCACCCTAAATGGGTAGAGATAGAGAAGGAAATGAGCTGAATTTGTTAGCGTGAATAGCACACTCAGGACAGTTGAGTAGACATTAAAGCCATATTCAATTAGCCGAATGACTTGTTAGGAAGGGTAAACAATATGGAAGGTACAATCTCTCAAAGACCAAGTTTTTATATAAGACAGGTCCTCTCACTTCTGATGACATCTTTCCTTAGGCAGGGTTTCTGTTTGTTTAGATTCTTGGTACTTTGCAGAAACTCTAAGTTGTTCTCTGAGGAGCAGAGCAGTTGTGATTATGTCCCATTTTGGTTGCTGGGGGAAGTTCCCAAGAGAGAAGTAACGAGTGTGTGAAGTTGTATTGGCTTTATCCTTTTTCCTGCCTCTCCCAGAGTCTTCCAACACATTTCTGTCTTACCTCTCCGAACTGACTGCCTATTTCCCTTTATTCAACCTTGTACTCTTCTGACCTAAAGAGGGATTTCTGCTTGGATGGGTAGACAACATTCACAACCAAGCTTGGATTTCAGAGACCTTCAGAATGCAGTGTGATGAAATAGTTTCAAGCACATCAATTACAGGAAAGCTGGCAGGTTCGAATCCCAGATCTGTCACTTAACAACTGCATGTTCTGGGAGTTCTTTATCTTATATGTAATTTAGGGATAATTATTAAGGGGATCATTTGTCTTATCTTCTGAACCAGGAGCTTTTTTGAGAGTGAAAGAGGTGATTTCAAGAATTTGATTAATTAAAAAAAGATAAACATACTTGTATTACATTCACCTCCACTACCTTATCTAATCCCTCCTCTACTTCTATTGACCTCCTCTTTACAAGCAGTCTCCCTCCTACCCTCGTGTCCTTCCTTCCCTTCCCTCTGCCTATACAGGCAGTCCCAGTTTCTGTGTGTTCGTGATTCCATAGCTCTGCCATCTCCAGAAGACATACTTCACTGCACTCCTCCTGGTTACTTCCCACAGTCCTTCCACCCACTCTTCCTCAATGATCCCTGTATTTTAAAGCAGGAAGTGTTACATAGGTGACCCTTATTAATCCAAGCACTCAGCAGTTACTTATTCTCAGCACTTTGATCAGTTATGGGTTCCTTCTTTGATCATTATCTACTACCAAAAGAGATTTCTCTGATCTATAAACGATACGTTCTCTGTCCTACCCTGTCCCATAGCTGCTTCCAAATAATCATTCAGAGGCTTATATTAATTATTAATGCTCAATCAATAGAATACATATTCACAGCATGCAGAAATATCATCCCACAGCACCGACCGAATCTGAGAATTCAGAGAACCACTTGCCTCTACCTCCAGAGTGCTGGGATTAAAGGCGTGTGTCACCACTGCCCAGCTTAGCTTCCTTTTTGACTTTAATTGGTTCGAACACACTTTTTGATCCTTGTAACTGAAACACACAGGCAACAGAGAAGGCCAGCAGGAAGTGAAGCCAGGCTATAAATCCACAAAGTCCAAGTGACAAGCTTTCTCCAGAAGTGCTCCACCTTTGAAAGGTCCCACAGCCTCTCCAAATATTGCCACCAACTGGGGACCAAGTGTTCAATACATGAGCTTATATATTTCTCATTCAGAGCTCACACCACAGTGAGCTCATAAAGCAGTAAGTTTCTTTGTGGCTTTTCCATATATTCTTAGTTTGGTTGACCATCTCCCAAACACCAACCTCTCTCCCTTATCTGCCTATTTCCTCTTTCCTTTAAATATTTCCTACCCCAGGATTCTCCCCCTTTTCTTCCACATGTTATTCTCTTCTCTTTTAGGCTTCTTCCTCTCACCCTGTAGTAGGAGACCACTTGTTTGTTCCTGGTTGCTCAGCCCCGAAATAACCACATAGAAACTGTATTAATTAAATTACTGCTTGGCCTATTAGCTCTAGCTTCTTATTGGCTAGCTCCTACATCTTAATTTAACCCATTTCCATTGTTTTATATTTTACCACAAGGTTCGTGGCCTACCAGCAAGGTTCCAGCTGACAGGTCACATCTTTCCCCTCTGGTGGCTCTATGGTGTCAATTGACTCCGCCCTCTTTCTCCTAGCATTCAGCCTAGCTTTCCCCACATAGTTCTGTTCTGCCCTGCCATAGGCTCAAAGCAGTTCTTTATTAATCAATGGCAATCAAAGCATACAGAGGGGAATCCCACATCATCACCCCAATCAAAAATGTGATTTTAACAATGAAATCAGTACAGTAGGCATGCAATGAGGCCACTTGAAAGAAGTCTGAACAACCTATTAATTATACATGCTCATGAGTGGGTTGAAAGGGTTAAACTATGTAGAAAGCTAATAGGTATTATGCCTGTTTACTTTGTGAGAATAAAAGTAGCAGCTAATATTATTGAAAGCTTGTTCTATGCTGGGTAAATGTTGTATTAATTTTTATACTTTTAGGGGAACAGACTTGATGGTAACTCACAGTGGAGATTTGTTTGCCAGGGAGTTGAAAGACAGATTCATAATTTTGTATACAGTGATGGAGGCAGTGATGGAGCCAGGATTCTAACCCAGGTTTGTCTGAGTGTCAGTCCATATTCCCTCTTTGTATTGACTCTCCAGTCTCTGTTGGGCCTTTTCTCTCCAGTACTGGCAGGGAGTCTAGATGAAGGAAATGGATCTCACATGCCCTCGTTTCTCCACAAATTCCCTTCTAGTTATTGTATGGTCTATGGTAAGTGCCATACCAACCGGCTCTTCTCTCCCTTCCCTACTTTCTCCATCAGTTCGTGTTAACCCCACTCTATGTGGGTGTATCCTGACCTACTTTTGCCATGAAGTCTCTAATTCTTTTCTGAATCCCTTCCTGTCTCACCTGTATACCACATTTAAACTTCCTTATGGAAAGACCCCACTGTCCTCAGTTGCTTTTCTCTACAAATTCTCAGAACCTGCTTAGACCTTCTGAAGAAGCACCCCGGGGGCCAGAACCCAGTGATATATGTGGTAAGAAGCTCTTCAGGATTCCTGATGCATGTTGGCAGCTGAGCACCATTTCCGACAAG